ATTACGTCTGTGTTTTCCTTTGCAACATGATCTTTTCACAGTATATAGATTTTATTTAAGTGGATAATACATTGATTGAGATCTAATTTCTCATACAATGGCCCTGATAAATTTAAGATGTGAAGTAAATTTGGTGAGTGTCCTTGTATGGGGTCAAGGCTGCTTCACTCTTTTGGATATGCTGACCCTTTTACAGAGGAGCATGAGGAAAGGGGTAAGTGCCTGAAACATAGAGGGCTTTTATTAAGAACCAAACTTTCCTTCTCTGTGACTTTAGCAACAAACACAGATTATGTACTGAGTAGTCTCCAGGCTTCCTCTTTTTATCTCCTACAATCTGGTCATTAGACACTGAACAATCTCTCTATGAACATATGAACATGAACATGTACTATGGTGGATTAAGGTGGACTCAGGTCCCAGTATCATTTCACAGTACTCCCCAAAGAAAACTCCACTGTGTACATTATATTAAAAGGCTGGTCAAATACACATCAATTTTTAATGAGCCACTTCACAGCAGTTGCTGTTACGAAGAGCTGCATATTACCGATAGAAAAAATTTACAAACTATTTACACTGCAGAGATGGAAAGGATATTGTCAAGTCTAATAAATAAATGTGTATTTTTTGTACCGGTAATATCAATTTACGACAAACTCTCAAATCACTTTTCAAATCACAGTTCATGATTGAACTGCACATTTAGAACAAGTACAGTGGTGAGAGATTCTTAACTTAAAATTTATAGTCCACCATCATATGAACATGACTATCATTCCATCACAGCTTCAGAGTCAATACATTAATTTCAGGTGCTGCATAGAGCAAAAGCTGCATTTGTACGATTCTGCTTTAGGTTTCCCCACTCTCAGTTTCACGGGCTACACTGTACACAACAAAAAATGAACAAAAGATGTAACGTCCGGTGTACTGAAAACAGTGCAGCAGCAGGTCAGTCTCCATACTCACATAACCTCTGCAGAGGGAAGCTTCCTCCTCTTTGTACTTTGTCCTTACATCTGCCCATACCTCTCTGCCCATACCTCCTCTGCCCTTACCTCCTCTGTCCTTACCTCCCCTATCCTCTGTCCTTACCTCCTCTATCCTCTGTCCTTGCCTCCTCTTTCCTTACCTTCACTATCCTTACATCCTCTGCCCTTACCTCCTCTCCTTACCTCCTTTGTCCTCTTCCTAATCACCACTATCCTCTGTCCTTACCTCCTCTGTCCTTTTTCCCTCTGTCCTTACTTCCTTTCCTTACCTTCCTCTGTCCTTATTTCCTCTACTTTCCTCCTCATTCCTTACCTACTCTGTCCTTAAATACTCTGTCCTTACTTCCTCTCCTTACTTCTCCTGTCTTATCCCTCATCATTTCATCTCCTCACTACACTCTGCTCCTCCATTATCCTCTGCCTGCGGTTGCGCTCTACTTGTCTTTGGCACTGACCCCACTACAGCATTGCAGTGCAAAGAAAGATGCATCAACACTATTTCTTTTGCTCCTTCCTTTTTACCTGCGAGGTGTAGCAGGGCTGAATTTATGACTGGACCTCTGAGTGCAAGGAAAGACATTTAGCAAATACTCTCCAAAGCAGCCATTAAGATTTGTAAACCACTATATACAACAGAAATTTAATTATTTAAAAAATTTTGGAACAAACTATTTTCTTGCTTTTTTTTTTTCCAGCATTATTTAGCAGTAATGTTCTTTTTAAATGGATGGAATTAAAAAGCTTTATTTGGATGAACCTCTCCTTTGCATGCAGATGAAGCTTCTGTTTAAATACTGCTCAGATATAACAAACATATTGGGTAAATAGGACTTACACAACAGGCTGAACCCTTTCTGATATTTCATAGTGAATGTGAACCCCTAGTTAGGTCCAGAATAAGGTTAAAGCCAGATTATTTCTTTTTACAGCCATTGTGAATGTGATCACTGGTTATCCATGCACACATTGAACCTCTTTACAGAAGCTTAAATACAACATTCATTTTTACATGAGTCACAGTATGCAAGCCACCAGTGGTTAGTCAAAGGCACAGAAGCAACTCGTCATTGTCTGTTTCTAATAAAGACCATAATTAAGCTAACCTATGCCAGGTCCCCACTCTTATAAACCTTGTGGTGTATGTGCAATCATTTGCTCAATGCAGGGCATAGGTTAGCCTAAGGCATACAATTAAGGGAGAGCTTAATTGTATCTTTGATCGACAGTCTAGACATCCAACAATGCTTTTCTGTGAGCGTGTCTTTGGGTTAGACATGACTGGCATGCAACATGTTTCACAGTGTAATGCAGGAGACTGGAGGAGCTCAGACTGGACTTGGTGGGACAGAGACACATGCAGACTGGTGTACACTACAGACACACTGACACCTATGGGAGGCACAGAGACTGGTTCATGCTCACCCTGAAGACAGAGCTTCACGGCACACGTTAGGGACCACATCACAGTTAGTTGTGTTGAGAAGTGCAGCGGACCATGTCTGACCACACCCAACGGTGTTGGAAATGGTCAGTGGTGCAACAGACTTGAACCTTTCAACCCATAGAGGTCAGAGTAAACATTTTGGACTCCAAACACATTAAAGTGTGGAGGGGCTCTTTGGAACTAGGAGGCACCTTTAAGACACAAAGTTGTGCCATTGGTGAACAATTCTCCAACTTGCTGTTACATAATAAAACATTGCTAAATCTTTAAATGTCTCAATAATTTCCTGACCATGCAGACACATGCTTTGGATTAGGAATCAAGTCTTTGTTTTATTAGTTTTTTATGTTACGATGAGTATGCCTAATGTCAATGTCTAATATGTGTCTGGGGTGTTGAATTACAAAAGATTTACAAAAAAAAAGCAAATCTATGACCTTTAAATGACTGAAGCCATTTTAAAATGGTTGGGGAGTGGGGACCAAACTTGCTTGCATATTGGACATGGATTCACACATTGTCTCAAATGGACAAACAGAGTGGGAGTGAGCCTGACTGGGGAGGTAGTGTTACAGCTAAAGCCCTTGGGTCGACTAAAGAGCTGGTATAGGACAAGCAGCGTGTGAGGGAAGCCAAAACACATCGGGATCATTTACAGAGCACTGGATTCAGAAACTCTTATCAACGCTTTCGGGGAAGGAAGTACTATATAATTTTACAATGTTACATCATGTAAAGTTTAGAATAGTATGGTGTGCTAAAATACAAGGCTGATATTATATAATGTTTGTGTCTTTAAATTCCTCTATTAAATGTCCAGCCAGTGATGTGCATGATCAACAAATAGCTCAAACATACATGCTAATGCCATGACATCATATGACCGAATGATTATTGAAAAGGTAGCAGACAAATTGAGAGTTGCTTCTGTGCCTCTGGTAAATTAAAGGTGGCTTACAGATTACTTTCAGCCAGTGGCTGGATTGAACACTACATGAAATGTTTTTGACCACTAGAGGGTGGAAAGACTCCACAACAGATTACAGTTAGTGAGTACCTTACCACTTTGTAATGGCTAACAAGTTAGCAAACCGTGGCCTACTTACATATCCAGCAGAAAAAGAGCAACACGGACATCTCTTTCGTCTCCTTTTTCTGGCCACCTGTTGAATGTAATCCCAACATTCACTGCTATCACTGTCTCTAAGCAGATGGTATCTCTCTTTTGTAGCTCACTACACCATTAGGTCTTACCACTTTACTCACAACATAGCTCGCGCTTTAATTAGCTTCCGTCTCCATTTTAATCCTTTATTTTAACCAGGATAGTCCCACTGAGATTTTGGGATCTATTTTTAAGGGTAGTCCTGGCCCCAGAAAAGACCCTATTATACATGTTAGTAGCAGGGGGGACTGGAGCACCCGGAGGAAACCAACGCAGACACAGGGAAAACATGCATGCTCCACAGAGAAGCCCAGGAAGCCTGCCCAGGAATTGTACCTGGGACCTTCTTGAGGCTGAAGTGCTATTTGCACTGCCACTCATCATAACAACAATGTACTAAAGTGTTTAGATCATAAAACAGACAAGGATTTTGTATGTGTTTGACAACATTTTAGGTCATAAAGAAAAGTCTCCAGTGCACACAAGTTTAGATCTATTATACAGGCTATAAACACAGCAGCACAATTTACCCAGCTCACATCATCTCTGTTTTTTTTATTAATAAGCACGAGATCCCTGAACACAGTCCAGTCAGTAGGAGAATAGGAGAGTCAATTTTCACTTTTCTTACGCACAACACACATTTCAGGTGTAAGAGGCCCTTGAGCAAAGGTAGGGTTAGACTGTGCCCTTGTAGCAGACTGCCCTCTGTCCAAGGTAACGCCGACAATCCAAATTAAAATCCTGGTCTCTGCAGATTTAGGTCAACTAAATTCTGGAGATAGATTGAACAAAGCCCTCTGATTTATGGCTATTTATAAAGAGGAAAGCACAATTGTAGTTAATTAGTAAAATGATAACTTTTCTACATAATCAAACAGAGGTGATGTGAAGCACTATTTTGTCCACCACAGTTATGACAGCATACCTCCACTGATGTAAAACAAGTAAAACAAAAACTCATCTGTTCAACACTCCACCACAGAATGGTCCCATGCAAATTTGAAACCTGATAATTAAGTTTTTCAAAATTCATATTGAAAGCAAAACATTGTCTTTCTCTTTTATCATCCTGTGTCCTTCACTCATTCATGTACAAAACCTCTGTCTCACTTTCCTTGTATTGGCTAATGGCAGTCTTATCTATTAAGAGCTTGACTACTGGGCATCAACGTGTAACCTCTTTGAATTAGCCATAATGCACAGTAAAGCTCAGCTATTGATTATGTGTTACTGGTTTATCCACTAACTAATAATGTCGGAGGTAAAAGGACAGCGAGCGCAGTGAGGGTGACAGTGGGGTAGCGTAGAACAGAGGAGAGCTAGGATGTCATGTTGGGATGTCATCAACTAACATAGTACAAACACAATGGACACAAAAAGCACAGGTTCTTACCTCCCAATCATAGTAGAGTGCTGCTGGACAGCCGCCTCCAGCAGCCTCTCCAAAATGGTCCATTCTCCCATGGTGACAGAGAGGGGACAGCTCTTTCACCACAGCCAAAATCTGTCCTCTTCTTTCTTCAGGGGAACACCTTCAGCTTCTGGGGGCCTCTGGTCCTGCCAGTAGCAGGAACAGGGGACTGGACCCCCCCCAGATCTCCTTCTGTCCCACACCAACTCCCTGACCTCTACACACTGTCTTGAATGACCATTTCTGCTGTGTCCTGGTTCTGTCCTGTCTTCCTCCTCCCGATGAGGTGCTAAGCTGATTGCTTCTCTCTCTTGGTTTCTCCCCCCTCCCCCTTTTTACAGTGATGCCTTTCCACCCCCCTGCCGCACCACTCTGATCTAATGCTACAGCATATGCTATTTCTCACTCTATGACAGCCATGATCTCCTTCGCCCCTGCTCTGTCTCCTACGTCCTCCTCTGTTCTGCTCTTCGTCCTGCCGACCTCCAGGCCACTCTCTGCACTTCAGCTGCAGTCCCTGCCATCACGCGTCCCGCTCCATCCTTGCATCGTCCTCACTGTGCCTTTGCTGCACCCTTGCCTCTCTAGCCTAAACATACAAACATATGGCACATGATCTCCCACTACCTCAGAGGTAAACAGCTACGAATCGTCTTACTGAGTGCTGCAGATCCGCACGGGTGCACAGAGCCGCTGCCTGCTGAATGTCATTTTATGACTGGAGGAATGGTCCTTCTCCCACAGCACCGCGCGCTGCAAGGACCATAAAAACCTGCACACACACGCACACACACTGCCACCGAGCCCCTCAGTAATAAATCAGCCGCCTTTGCTGCATCCAGTCAGGCAGAGCTGGAGAAGAGAAGGCAGTCCTGTCCTCTGGTACCTTTGGTTAATTTCAGTCAAGAGTCACATCTGTCACAAAAAATATGCATAAAAAACTCTCTACTTTAGTCGTCCATCATTAGCTCTTTTCTGTTTCCTTCCTTCAACCTTCCCGACTCTCCTTCCTCTCCTTCCCCCTGTTTTTCTTTCCTCGACTCGCGCTACGTCTAGCTCAGTGCTTGCTCCTCATCTCTGCCTTTGCTTGTGCATGTGTCTCCTTCCTCGTTCATAGAATCGCTCTATCTCTGTCACACTCTGAGAGCATGCAGCTCCCCCCGCACCACCTCCCTCCTCCTCTTCTCATAGATCTGCTCTCTCTCCTTCCTTCCCCTCTGGTAAATGTGCTGGGACTGCTACCCCACTCTGTGCTTCACTTACGCTTGCAAGAATGCCTCTGCTGTATGTGATGTGACGCTGTTACTGCGCAGCTTTGTTCCTTGTCTCGTGGTGTTTCCCCGTGTGGCTTTACCAGAGTGCTGTATGTTTAAGGGGCTTCCAGATGCTTCCTACAAAAACAGAAAAGAAGAGATGGTGAAAAGTGTACCATTGTGTAACCCCATCCCCCATTTAGTATGTTCTCATTTTCCATTTTAATGTATAAGGGATAGCAATACACCTGATTGACCCAGCCCTCAGCACTCCTCTTCTCTCCCTTTTTCTATTCTGTCCATTTTCCCATCTTCCCTCCTTCATTAAAGCCCTCTGTACTCTGCTCACTCTCAGGAGAGATGAACACTGTATTGTACTTTGCAGTGACATTGAAAGCTGCATTCATTAGGTTTATGTTAAGGTGGTGTGGAAATGGGTTAGTCTCTCTCCATTACACACATCTCTGGAACATCTAGCAGAAATGTCTTTTAAATGCTTGCATACTTTAACACAGGATTAACATGTAAAAAATTAAATGCAGGTATGTCATTGGAATACATGGAGAAAAAGAGGAAGCCACTTTATTACATTTTTTTCATTACACATCCACCTTTTTATGGGGTGAGTCATAGCAAGGCTTTCCCATCTACAAGACTGAGTCAAGTTTTGCTCAATTAAATGATGCAGTTGTATGGCATATGACCAGCATATTTAAATGTATCAATACTTGGAATATATTTATGTCATATTAATTAGAAATGCAGGGATGAGATTATGGGAGCAAACCCCCCCAAAAAACAGATTGTGTTAAATCAGCATATTCAGTGAACTTGGGGTCTTTCCCTCATCTAGGACATATGGTGTAAGGGGGCGAGTAGGAAGTGGAGGTAGTCTTTGGATCTCAATGCTTGTTTGTTGCAAGAAGAGCAGCCCAAACACTAGATGGCCCAATATGAGTTAAGGGGAGGCGCAGGTGTGTCTTCAATGACCTAGAACAGCCAGCTCAGGCATGCAAAAGCACACACTGCAAGCAAGCAACTGGAACACACAACTGTCTTTTAAGAATAGGACTGATCACCTAAAATGTAATAAAAGGAAATGTTATCATTGGAATTCTGTTTGTTAAACTTAAAATTAAAAAATGGGTGCAGTGGTGTCTATTTTAGTGCAATGATAAATAATTAGCTACATCTGTATTTGAAGTCTAACAAATGTAGGCCTATAAATGCTGTACCCAAAACATGTGGAAAATAAAAGCAAACAATGACCTAAATATTTACATTTTTATGTATTATATAGTATATATATAGTCCATTTTAAAATACATTTTCCAAGATAATGATAGCTATAACACATAATTACATAATAACAGTTCCAACTAATTTATAATAATAACTAAAACTAATCACAGCATACTTAAAGGTCACTAATGTCAGATTCGCCAATCACTTACATATGTACTAGAATATGAACATGTTACACCTCTAATGCCATAAGACATAACCTGTCTCACTGTGGAGTAGTGCCAGGAGGGGCTGGTGAACAGGGAGCTGGAAACAGACCCACTTTCCCAGCTGCCACTAGCGATCCCTGCAGCAGGCCTCACCTCCCTCTGTTCTTTGCCCAGCAGCGATGACGCTATGTTTGGTCTCCTCAGAGTGTGTGTATACTGTGGTGCTACACTAGTGGTAATTCTGTTAACTAAAATATTTTGTTTTCATGAATGTCATATTTTTGCCAACTAAAACTAAAAGTATAAATATAATGCAAAACTATGGGCTACCTCATGATTTATTTTGACACTGTTTTTAAATTAGGGTCCCATGAGTGCATGATTGTAATTTTGGAATACTGTCCCATGTAACTGAGAGGTACACTTTTGCAATACCTGTAATCCATTCATGTTCATATAAGCTATTTAAGAAAAGTTGTAATGCTTTTCCATAAAAGTACAGCTGCAAGTGTCATTATATAGTCATCAGCCATGTTCACAGTGATGTAACACCTGCCACACCACAGTTTTCTGCAATCACTAGCACTCCAGCGATCAGCAGGCAGTGAACATAAAGTCGCAAGGCTATGACCAGAGTGAATAGTGACACTGTACTTCAGATAAGGCTGACACCTATGAATTAGACTCATTTACATAATGCTTTAATTTAAAATATAACATTCTTGGTGATTTTCAGGGTAGGTTTAGACTACATGATTTTAGCCTTAAATAATTGATCACATGTCAAACATCAGAACACATTACTAGTTCTCCCTTTCTCCTATTTCATATTGCAGGCCTTTTATTTTATATTATAGGCCTTTTGTTTTATTTTATATTTGCATCAAGGACTTTTTGGGCTAAGGTCTTTACAGAGGTTGAGGTGTTTTAACCAAATGGAAAGTGTTGCTTATTCATCATCAAAAAAAAAAAAAAAAACATACCTGAAGCTGTATGATGCATCTTTAGAATATTCGAGCTGCCTCTCCAAAGATCTTTACACACTGGTTTACATTATTACGATTTACGAGATAGTAGAGTACGAAAGTTAAACTGCTTAGCTCACTTTATAATGCAGTTTATGGCTCATAGCTGTATTTTACAGTAACAGAGAACTTATGTTGCGTCAGTGGCGTTAGCTCTCCCTCTAGCGGTAAAACAAAAATAATGCAAAAATACATGTATTTTATTTTGTTGTCTTTTATTAAATGTTTCTCTTTCTTTTTATTATTCTCCCACTAGTCCTAAAGCTCTGTTATTTTTTTTTTTATCAGCATGAATATTTATTTCCCTTCAAACACTGCAGCAGTGTTGTCCCGTGTGTCAAAGGTGTGATTTGTGCATCCAGCAGGAGGCGCCCTTGGGTTTGTGGTACGTGGCAAACTGTGCTAACTTTAGTGCCGCGAGGAAGACTTGCAGGGAGGCTAATGTGTCAGAGTCATGCTAAGCGGTCTATGCTAGTCTGTTGTCCTAAAGTAAAATAAAGCATCAAACTGACATTCTTCAAATAGGACCACCTTTCGGACACCCGCTTAGGGGGTGGCTAACCTGAACCGTCAACCTTTGACATCTGACAGCAGCTGGTGAGCTAGCGTTAGCGGCTAGCTGCTCGAAAAGTATCGTTGGAGCTTGGTTGATTACAGCCATGTCTGCGGCCGGAGACTTCGGGAATCCTTTAAGAAAATTCAAACTGGTTTTCCTTGGAGAGCAGAGTGGTACGTGTGAATGTAATACAGCTGACAGTGTATTATCTGCGTCATCTGCGTAATGCTTTTAAGTATTTGATATGGGTGTTTACCTGGTTAGCTGCTAACCTTAGCTGCGTAATGTTAAGCTTGGTACTTGCAAACCCGTAGTTTTTTTCAGCTTGTAGGTCTTGTAATGGATAATGTTACGTCAAAGTTACTATATTACGAATTATTACTTTATATTTTTTTATGTTGGTATAACTGTATGCCTCTATGGGCGGTGGCAGCCAGTAGTTCCACAATTTGAGATGCATACAGGAGCCCTTTAGATTATAATTGTGTCGATCACAGCTGTATTGTCTTTAGTACATAAACACCGAAGAAAATTATCAAGGTTAATCTAAAGCGATACACTGTGACATCAAATTGTATGTGGCCTGTAGCTGTCAATCTCGGTTAAAGTCCACAAAACGTAGCGCTGAGATTTAATAACACGTCAGATCAAACCGAGGGTGTGTACTGCATTGTGATGCTCACAAATTATCCGCCCGGCTCAGCAGCACACAACAGATCTGCTGACATTTGCCCTGCTAAACAAATACATCCAAATGTACTGACGAGTTTCTTAAGGACAAATTGTCATCCAATCGAAGCGTATTTTGTCCATTGCCTCTCTTTTATTAAAAAAAAATAAAAAACGATGTTGTGTTTTGAAAATTCAAATTTCATGTAAGATCTATCTTTACTTTAACTGTCCTATGCTGGGGTAATTCCATGTTCTATAAGAGTTTATTTCTATTCTCTCACAGTGGGGAAAACTTCACTTATCACCCGGTTCATGTACGACAGCTTCGACAACACTTATCAAGTAAGAGATTTCATGCCATCTCTATTTTAATTGTAGTGTTACATTTCTACAATTTTGTGTAATTCTAAAGGACTAATCTTGACAATCTTAAATATCTTCTTACAGGCCACAATAGGAATAGACTTCCTGTCAAAAACCATGTATCTTGAAGACAGAACAGTAAGTCCAACCTACTCCTTATCTTGTCTAGACTGCAATACTAATTTTATGCCCAAGTGTGGTATAATGGGACATAGTCTGCTTCACTATATTCTTGATGCTGTTCCCCGAAGATTGCCTTTTTCAATCTAATTAAAAGTTTTTGTAGTTTGAACACATGCACAACAGCGCGCAAAGTGTGAGTGAAGTGGTGTGGTTTGTAGAGCACCGTCCCTTTTGCTGTTTGTTTTGTCCCTCAACACAGATTTTCTTCCTCTTCTTCCTTCCCCTCCTTCACTTCTCCGTCATGTCTGTTCTCATCTTCTCAAATGACCTGGGACGCTTTACTTGATCAGGAGCGGAGGGTTGTGACAAGTGAAGGGTGATTGTTTTTATTCTTCCCCCAGGCCCAGACAGCTTGTTCTTTCTGGTGGTCCTTCACTACCTGCATGCACTTCACTCTGCCTTGTCTGTGCTCTGTTCAACTCCTCTACTCTATTCTCCATCATATACTTATAATTTACTCATTGTTTTTTACTTGATTTCTCTCCTTTTTATTGTTATTTTGTACATTTTATCATCCTTTTGTTTTTTATTTTTCTCTTCCTTTACTTCTTCCTCCCATCTCCTTCCCGTCTCACAGATAAGGTTGCAGTTGTGGGACACAGCAGGCCAGGAGCGCTTTCGCAGTCTCATCCCAAGTTACATTCGCGATTCTGCTGCAGCTGTTGTTGTTTATGACATCACAAGTAAGTATATTTTGATTAATTTAATTTCCAAACTGACCTAGGGTTAGGAACATGGCAACATGTTTATTTCAATGTAAATAATCATGAACTCATGTTGAAATGGCTTTAAATGTATTTGCTGCCCTAAAATGTATTTGTATAGCAAGTCAATATCTTTATTCTCAATCTTTTCTGTCTTAAATATGATTAAAACGGACATGCATACAAATTGGCTTTATTGTGTATCCTTACAGAGGTAGTTGACCAGTTGTAAAGGTATTTTCTTGTATTTCCTGTTCCCTCCCTTTGTGCCAGATGTCAACTCCTTCCAGCAAACAACAAAGTGGATTGACGACGTTCGAACTGAGAGAGGAGGTGACGTCATCATTATGTTGGTTGGAAACAAGACAGACCTCGCAGACAAAAGGTAATCTGTTCTTTGCCCACTGCATCTGTGCTGCTGGTGGACCATGTACTTTGACTGCATACAAATGAAGTCATTGATTTTTAACTGCTGGACCATCAATACAGAGTTCTTCAGCTTTTCTCTGGGGCAGACTTAGATCAGAGCCCCCAAGTACTGCTCAATGTGGATGTCAACACTCTTCTAGTTTTATCGAGTTGATTTGTTATGTCTGTATTTGTCCTATGCAACTCCTAATCCCATTTATCTACTACAGGCAAGTATCTATTGAAGAGGGTGAGCGGAAAGCCAAAGAACTAAATGTAATGTTTATTGAGACTAGTGCGAAAGCAGGCTACAATGTAAAGCAGGTAAGAAATGTGAGTCGTGCTCTGGACCTGTACATGCTGCTACCTAGGCTTTCTATCCAAGAATTAACCACTTATATGAGCAAATTTTTGGGTACTATATTGAATTCACTATATTTAATATTGCTGAAAATCTCTCAAGTCTTAAGTGGTTGCTTTTGGTGTACAGCGAACATGGCAGTAGCAGCAGGAAGGGGCACGGCTTGTTTTTATATTTCAAGTTAATGATGATCAATATTTTTCTTCCCCTGTTGTCTTGTGGTTGTATGTGTGGTGTGTGGTTGTGGCCCATTGCAGACAGATAACCACAGAGGAGGGAGAGCAGAGGGCAAAAGAGATGAATGTTCTGTTTATTGAGACAAGTGCAAAGACAGGCTACAATGTCAAACAGGTAGAGCCTATGCACCTTATTCTGTGTCTGTGTAGCTCATGCTCTTCTGATGGCTTCTATTTCACACACGCATGTCTCCACTTTCATTAGTGATGTGTGGATGTATTTTTCAAGCTCTCTCCCACCCTGTAAGTTTAGATTTGATTGTAATTTTTCCAACAGTTTTCACATCAGGCCTAGAGGTGGGTAAGGGTTTGTAAATGTGTTCTTTTAGATCAGTTTAGACCAACAAGCTGGTTGCTGTGGAATCTGCATGCAGTCATTTATTTGTTGCTTCTTTAGTGATGTGGGATGATAAAACATTTCCCATTAAAACTTTCATTTAAAACATCTATCATCCAAAGGATACAAGCTCAACAGCAAGGCTACAGCATATTACAGTGTTATGGATGTCTTTCTTTGTGTGAACTTTTGAGTGACTTTCCATGAGTCTAAATACAGATTTGTGTGTTTTAATTTTGTTACATTTTAATAACCAAATTCCCAATTTGCACAGCTTTTCCGTCGAGTGGCAGCTGCACTTCCTGGCATGGATGCCACACAGGACAAGAGTAGAGAGGACAGTATCCTTCATAAAGAAATAACTGCACTTATTTTATAATTGAATATGTAAAAATATTCTGTTTCTCCTTGACTCAACCCTCCCCCCAGTGATTGACATAAAACTGGAGAAGCCTCCAGAACAGCCCAACAGTGAAGGAGGCTGTGCGTGCTAATGTAGTTAACAACTAGATCTCTGTTAAACCAACACTCATTTCTTGTACAGTAAATATATCTATCATAAACCCTCTCTCCAGTACATGAACACTACATCAGTTACGCTGTTGTGCAAGTTAAATCTCTCAGCAAGTCTCTGAAAGTCACACGTCACTTATGAATTGAATATTTGCACTGGTAAAGAGAAACCATAATCACAGGTGGTGCTTGGTCTAGTGAAGATAAAGGAGTGTTGTTGGTGTATGGAGGTTTCCAAAGAAATAAGTTAACATCAGGAAGTGTTATTTTCATATCATTTGAAAAGTATCTAGCACTCATCTGTAATACTGTCACCAAAGCTCTTTGTGGATGTGGAAAAGATTACAACCTTAATCTTCAGTGTTTACAAACTTGTTATGCAACTTCAGAGAAAATCACATCCATGATAGTTTCAGAGCATTCCCACCTCCCACCAAAAAGCAGCATTTGAAATGAGTAACACTAAATTCCGAAGAAGCACCTGGAGTTAGTGTCGCCACAAATGGCAATGACCACAAGGACAAAGCTGTCACCACTATATCTCATGCTCCTGCTCCCATCAACTGACAGTTATAGTTGATTTTACCTTGGCTTCCATTTTCTACTTTGTTTTTATTCGACAGATTGTTCATGATTTTATGAGAGACAACCGCTATGATAGGTTAAAATGATGATTTGGTCATAGTGTTTGAAAAGTTTCAGCTCATGTTCATAAATCCTGAAATATCATAGATTTGAACAAATGCCTTTTGAAGTGTAAACATAGATGATTTCTTTGCTTTGGGTTCATAGTCTTGTTTGGGATGATGTTAAGAATACTTTGTTTTTGCCTATTTTTACTTTTGTTATTGATTTTTTGTTGTTGTTAGTAACAATTAATTTTGTGTATTTAATCCATTATTACTTGCAATATTTATTTCTACCAATTTCATTTATCTTTATGACTGTTAATCTGTTTGCATTTGGGACAGTTCCTGCCAATTTAATATGCATCTACATTTGACTGCCCTTATCCAGAACACTTCTAACTGGCTGATTGGTCATAATGATAACAGTGCAATTTGTATTTGTGTGAATATTTGGAAGAGAATTTGTATTGCATTGTAATCTTTAACGTCTGTCATAAATTGTTTTAAATTAAAGAATAAAATACACTTCACACTGCTGCATACTGCTTTCAAATGTCATATTTCTGGATGGGGGGTATGAATGAAATGTTCAAAAATCAAAAAGAACAAGTACATTAATTATTTAGTTAATATAAATTGTACTTGCACCTGTCTTCCTTTTGCCTGGAAAAATCCAGACTCAATCTTTTTGGATTTGCAGGCAAGTCTTCACTGACTAATTTAGGTCTAAGTCATCTGAAACCCAGGAATAACATACACTTCTAATGCACCGTCAGGGCATCTACAGCGACATCTTCTGGCTAAGTGTTATAATAAGTTTTGGAAATCTCGCGAGAGAGCAGTTACCAAGGAAACCAACACTGAGGGGGTTAAACTGATGGGTGTTAATTTTTGGGTTCGAAACCAAATGTTCATCTTTGTTGTTTATTTATGTTATAAATAAGTAACTTTTATTTTTGTTAACTACTTTAATTTATTTGGACAATGGGACGAGACTATTACGAGATTCTAGAAATAAGCAGAAACGCGACGGATGCAGACATTAAAAAGGCGTAAGTTAATTTTTTAACACAATGAAAAGTAACTCTTGCAGTTTTGTTGACCAAATATTGAATCCAACAATATATTTAGATACCGACGCCTTGCACGGAAGTTTCACCCAGCCAGTAACAGAGAACCAGGAAGCTATGAGAGATTTCGGCAACTGGGTGAAGCTTTTGATGTTTTAAGTGACCGTAAGTTTGGTTTGGGAATGATTTTCGGAGTGCTCTACAAAATATTACTACCGTTACAGCTGCAGTAAATGCTAATTTTCTGGTGGAGATGGAGTTGCTTTGTCTGTCTCTGAAATACTGAAATAATATCTGAAATGTGACAATCTTATCTTTCGATGGGGCATGCAGGTGATGCCACCAGATTATATCTCTGTTGAGAGTTTAGCCTGCTCACAGTAATGCATGTCTATAATATTTATATTACATGTCCTTGTTCTTTTTGAAACAGTTCGTAAAAAGGCCACCTATGATAAATTTGGAGATGATGGTTTAAAGGGTGGCATACCTATTGAATTTTCCAAAGATGGTGCTTGGTCTTCAAAATATGCCTACCATGACAATCCGGAGAAAACATTCAAAGAGTTTTTTGGGAGTAACAATCCATTTTCAGGTAATGAACATAAAGGTCTGAGAGCAAAAATGTCTAATTAATAAATTATTAAATCATGATTATATTTTTTTCTTTTCAGATTTTTACATAAGCGATCTTCCTCTTCAGTTTGGTGGCCTGACCACAGGGGAGAATAAGTTTAAGGATGATCCCATTGAACGAGATCTCTATTTGTCCTTAGATGACCTTTTCCATGGATGCATGAAAAAAATAAAGATATCGCGCAAAGTAAATACTGATAAAAACATGATTTTTTCCAGATAACTAGACAATACCCATACCCTGACTGTACATTATGGGTTTGTTGTAGGTCATGAATGATGATGGCTGCACGTCCAGCATCAGAGATAAGATTCTGACTGTGACTGTGAAGCCTGGATGGAAAGAGGGCACAAGAATAACGTTTCCTAAAGAGGGGGATCAGGTCAGATAGGACTCAAATTTTTTTAGATATCTTAAAATTCTAATCAGTAGATATCCTTGGTGCTGACTATGTCAAGTTTAAACCACTGTTTTATAATTTGTCTATTGTCTACATGAAAATATTTTGGATGATATAGACTGTATAGGAGGATCATTTTTTCTTAGCCCTTAGCCTTTTTCTGAGTTTGCCTAGAAATATACTGATATATTGAACTACTACCATTCTTGTGATAACTTTTACACAGCAAAAAGTTTGGAAACGGATATTAACTAAACTGTCTTTGTAAAATAAGTCTAAATCCTTGTTGTAGGTTACTTTAGTGTGGTTACAGTCTTATTTACATCCAGTAAGTGGCACCAGTCACCATTGTTGTAATTTGTGTTATTGTATTCAGCTGAAAATAACTTGCCATTTCAGTAGATGTGCATCCCTATTGTGACAATATACATTCTAACCAAGGCTTTGGTTTTATATGTCACTTCAGGGCCCTAACAACATCGCTGCCGACATAGTGTTTATTGTACGACAGAAGCCTCACCCTATGTTTGAGAGAATTGATAATGATTTAATTTACCATGCTCAAGTGTCACTGGAGATGGTAAGAATAATTAAAGAAGCAAGACTGACTGTACCAATACCAAGTAATCACCAAGTGTGCTGATATTTTAATATTTTGTACAAAGGCGCTGACTGGTTTCTCTGTTGAAGTAGAGACTCTGGATGGCAGGCTAATTAAGATTCCATTCAATGAAATTGTGCAGTAAGTACCATTGTTATCAGTATAATCAGTATAATAAACTTATTCTGTAGCCTATAACATTATTTTTTTCCATAACTTCAGCCCATTGTACAAAAAAGTGGTGCCTGAAGAGGGAATGCCGCTGTCACATGACCCTTCACAAAAAGGAGACCTCATCTTTACATTTGACATCCACTTCCCTGAGAAACTTTCAGCTGAAAGTAAACTTCTGATTAAACAGGCACTGCGTTATTAAAACAATAATGTACAAAATGTTATGTTAAGACATTAGAACAGTTTCATTTGAACCTTTGTATCTGTACTTAAAATAAATTGCTAATATTTTAACATTTGCTCAACATCATTTGGTCACAGAGGTTTGTAGTTTAAATTCACTGTCATCATTGCTCGTTTCAGCTGCTCATAGGTCACAAACATCACAACGTTCCATGAGCCCAGACGTAGGAAAGATGGCATGAACCTGAAAGAAAACAACAAATATCCTTACACTGCATGGTCATCAGTTATAGGCCAGTTTGAACTAGGCTTACCCTTTGTAAAAGGCCTGAGGGCCCTCTTTGGACATCATGGTAACAGCACAATTCAGCACACTGCCATATTGGCCAAGGGCAGAGTTCATGTACCTGGTTTTGACCACATCTACTGGAGATGCAATCACTGTTGTGACGAGGCCTGCTCCAAAGGCTGACACAAAGTGACAAGGCAGAGTGTCTGTGAATAAAGAAAAATAGATTTATTTTTTGAACGTTTTTTCATTATAATCTTCATTTATGACACTCGGTTACCAGTCATTGGGGTGGAGTTAAGGAGTAAGTCTTTGATAAAGTCATAGGTTACCAGTTCTGAGCAGTTGACAATTGCATTACGTGCGATGTTTGGGGCTGTACCTGCAGAATACACAGAATACTTTTTTTTATTGCCTTCAGTTGAATATTTTGCTATAGTATAAACACACTTCAGTATTACCTTTCCACAGTCCAGAAATACCCTCCTCTTTGGCAATGGTGCTGTAGGCATTGAGAGTGCTGCTGTAGCGCTTCATATTACCAGTGGACCTGGCCTGGGCCTGGAAACGCACTTTGACCACATCAGTGGGTTGGGCAACAGCAACTGCCAGAGCTCCAGTGGTGCATCCTGCCATGAGACGACTGCCAATGCCTGCATCTGAAACAGAAGAGATGTTACAGGTGAGCAGATACCAGCCTTCTGAAAACGAACAGACAATGCTAGCACTCACGCTCTGAGCCTTTAGTGTAGAACTGTTTGACAGTGTCATAAAGGCCAATCCGAACTGAAGCAAAACTCATCTGCCTCTGAAGCCCTGCCACCAACCCACTGTACAGGCTCCTGGGGCCCTCAGTGCGGACCATAGTGGTGATAGTCCCAAGCACTCCACGATACTTGACGACAGAGCCCTTACAAGCTTTTCCTGCCTCTCCCTGGATCTGACAGGTAAAGAACAACATGCCAGAATAGATGGTCAGTAACTTTTAGCAAATTTACCTAAGAACAGTTTTTGAGGATCTGTAGTAGTGTCTGTAGTCTTTGAATTTTTGTTTAATACTTTTTACTTTCCCTCCACTACATTTGAAAGTTAAATATTATACATTCTGCTCCTTACATTACTAAAAAAAAAAACAACTCAAAGTACTTGTTACTTTTGTGGAGGAGTTTTCACAGCTTTTGTATGTAATTTTTTATTTAATTCCTCAACGCTAACATTCACAACACAAAAACACTTCAATACTTAAGTAATTTCTTCATTAAATAATTTAACTGTAAGTGACTGAGCTACTTTTACTTATGTTGGAGTAATTTTGACAGGTATATCTGGAATGCAGCACTTTGACTACCTCTGCATGCCGGTCACACTGTTCTCACATGACATTTAAACCGATTAAGATTAAATGGAAACTGCCAACAACAACTCAATGAAAAGTAGATATTGACCAAGTATTCACCTGTAGCCGCACTTTGGCTGTGTCCAATGGAAATGTGAGCAGATCGGCAATGCAGGCTGCAGTTCCTGCTCCGATAAACTTTACTGCTGCTGTTGGAGGCACATCTGCAGGCTTAAATCCCACCATTTTTCCAAACGTTTTGAAGATTTGAACAAGAAGTGTTTATTGGAACAAAAGATAAGGTGACTTGTTGCAAATCTGAAAGCAATTAAACATTAAAAGATTACCTTAAACGGTATGCTGTATGTAATCATAATTTAAGCACTTACCTTTAAAGCTGTTTGGACAAATGCTTAGGATCAGGCTTCTCTAAAGGCATCTCTCTGGCTAAATTTTGTCCCAGCTATAATTTGGGTTCTTTTGTTTTCCATAGAAACCGTTGTGAAATTATTGTGGCTTAAGTTCATACTCCAAAGATCTGAGAATATAAGGCAAATATAAGATAAACATATACATATTAAGACAGATAGGAAGGAGTGTGAATCTTAAACAATGCTTACCTTATTTAGTAGAAAAATGTAACTGCCTGTGTTTCCACCGAGGTAATAATGTTAAAAGGAGCTGCTTTGGCTTGGCGTAACCTGAGCCTGTGAAAGTTGGCATACAATGGCTGAACAAAGAGGAAGCCTTCTTTAAATAGTGTTTGTAAAGGGTGGTGACGTCACTGCATGACAGATGTTCCTCTTAGGCCCTTCCCCTCTATAAACAAGCTTCCTGCTGCACAGACTGCCTCACAACTACCCATGGACACACAAACATCTTTGGCTTGTATGTTAGTAACTTTTTTATCCAACTTATTAAATAACTTTTTATCTAGTTTTATTTAGTTAAATCAATTTTTATTTGAGATGAGGGAGCCTAACTGAACCAGAACATCAAAACTGAACACACTTGAAATAATACTTTAATTCTCAAATTGCTTTCAAATTAAGTACTGCATTTCTTTCACACAATGAACTTAAAAGCTTTTACTGATTGTTGCATCCTTGTTTACTGAGAGAACACCACACTAAAAACATGCTGAGTCATCCTGAATAGACCGGGAACACTATGTACACCCACAAAATTAGCTCCGTATTCCTATGTACATTAGGAAAGTTATCCAGTTCACTGTTAACTGATTTATAGAGTAGAATATTATAATTCCTAGAAAGCTTTGCTTTTAAACGTGTGTGCAAGAGCTTGGTAAAATTAAGAAAGAAAAAAAAACTCAGATTGTTACTGAGTTATGGAGATAATAGATACAGAATCCCT